CTGCATTCTTCTTTGCTCTGCATGAGGAGAGACTCATTGTTGCATCTAGATGGCTGCTTGCAAGCTTTTAAGATCCCAGTCACTATTCTCCAAGGTGGGAGGTGGAACAATGTTTTGTGTAGTATGTTATGCCAATTGAGCTTGATGTCCCCTGCAAGTATGGTCCTGAGCCCACAGGTCCAACTACTCACTCCCTCTGGGTAGGTGGCTGTGGGCAAGAAGTGACAACAACCTTAGCCCTTGTCAGCTCTACTATACACCTGGGAATTCTTACAGAACATACCAATACACCTGTAGAAACATTGTCTGCCAACCCTATACAAAGTCTTGGGCACACTTCCCCTGCATGTTGTTTTTGTTGTTGTTATGTGCGGTCGAGTCAGCCCCAACTCACAGCAACCCCTCCTTGGGTTTCCGAGGCAGTATCATTATGGAAGTAAGATTGCCCAACCCTCCTTCCGAGGAGTGGCTGGTGGGTTTGAACCACCAGCCTTCTGGTTAGTAGTCAAGTGCTTTAGCCACTATGCTACCAGAGCTCCTAATCCCTGATCCATCTGGAGTTAGTTTATGTGTATGGTGTGAGGTACCAATGTTGTTTCATTTTTCTGCAAATGGATATCCAGTTTCACCAGCACCATTTATTAAACAAACATTCTCTTCTCCATTTAATGGATTTCAGCCCTTTGTCAAAGATCAGCTGACTAGAGGTCGATGGATCCATTTCTGGGTTCTCAATTCTATTCCATTGGTCTGTGTGTCTGTCACTATACAAATACCAGGCAGCTTTGACTACTGTGGCTATATAGTAGGTTTTGAGATCCAGCAGTGTGAGACCTCCTACTTTGTTCTTCTTCTTCAATAGTGTTTTGCTTATATCCTGAGGTCTCTTTCCTTTCCATAGAAAATTAGTGATTGGTTCTTCCATATCCTTAAAGAATGTTGATGGGATCTGGATTGGGATTGCATTGAATGTATAGATTGCTTTGGGTAGAATTGACGTTTTCACAATGTTCCTATCCATGAACATGGGATGTTCTTCCATTCATGTAGATCTCTTATGGTTTCTTGGAGTAGTTTTTATAGTTTTCTTTGTACAGGTCTTTTTTGTCCCTGGTAAGATTTATTCCCAAGTATTTTATTTTTTTGGTAGCTATTGTAAATGGTATTGATTTCCTTATTTCTTTTTCAGCAATCTCTCTGCTACTGTAGAGGAATCCAACTGATTTTTGGATGTTGATCTTATATCCTGCCACGATGCTAAATCTCTCAGTTAGTTCCAGTAGATTTTTGACTGACTTTATTGGGTTTTCTAGGTATAGGATCATATCATCAGCAAATAGGGATAGTTTGGTTTCTTCCTTACCAATCTGGATGCCTTTGATTTCCCTTTCTTACCTGGCTAGGACTTCCAGTACAATGTTGAATAGAAGTGGTGCTAGAAGTTATCCTAGTATGGTTGCTGTTTGCAAGAGGAATGTTTTCAATCTCTCTCCATTGAGAATAATGTTGCTGTTGGTTTTGTATATATATGCCTTTTATTATATTGAGGAATGTCCCTTCTATTCTATTTTGCTGAGAGTTTTTATCAAGAATGGGTGTTAAATTTTATCAAATGCCTTTTCTGCATTGATTGATATAATCATGTGGTTCTTTTCCTTTGTTTTGTTTATGTGGTGGATGACACTGATTGTTTTTCTAATGTTGAACCATCCTTGCATACCTGATAGGAACCCCACTTGGTCATAATGAATGATTTTCTCGATATGTTGTTGGAGTCTATTGGCTAGGATTTTGTTGAAGATTTTTGCCTCTATATTCATGGGGGATATTAGTCTGTAGTTTTCCTTTTGAGTGATGTCTTTGCCTGGCTTTGGTATTGTCAGTATCTTTATAAATCCAGTCTTTACTTGTCTTGTGGGTTAAAATATTACACACACTTACAGATATATTTTAATACATGCATGCATACATAAAAATACACAGATTATTAAAATTTACTATGACCATGAAATAGAGTTGGATGATACTGGCATTTTTCAATTACGGTCATAACTCCACTTGTGGAAAGTTTTAGATCATCTGGATTCTCTGTGTGAATGGGGATTGGGTTTCTAGTCAGAAAATTAGTGAGAGTTGTCTGCATGGTCCTTTTCTTTTTTCCTTCATATATTTCATGGTAACATCTCACTGCTTGCCAAATCTTCCTGTTGAGTTTAGCAAAGCAATCAATGTTTGAGTCCATGTTTTTAAGCAACTGAATTCTTTGATTATGTTTAGGAAAAAACAGCTATTCCTTTCATTTTAATTTTTTTTTACAACTTCTCTCCCACCTCTTCCTCATTATTTCTTTCTTCTTTAGCATTTCTTTCCTCTTCAAAATTGTTTAAGTCCTCATCTGTCAATTCCTCTTTGTGTTTTATAAGCTATTCGACACTGGAGATATGAAGTTCTAAATT